ATTACTTGAAATGTAGATCTTTTTTTCCGATTTTCTCAAAATCATGATTTTTGACGTTTGGTCCCTTTCTATTGTCCCATGCCCCATATACTGGTGAAGTTTCAGGAGCAATGAGTTCTGTATGACATTTCGTGTAACAACAAACCTCCACCATGCTTTATTATAGTTGCTTTTATATATTCAATTCAAAATAATTTTACTGTAATTAAGAGGGTGTATAAAACAAAAAAAAAATTCAACTTTACTTTGTCAATAATTTTTACTTTCATCAAATCGTCAAAATAACCCTTGGTGAGAAGCTACTTTTATTCTGTACTTTCGTCATGTCAATGACTAAAGTCAAAACTAAAATTAAAAGTTATATGTCAAAACTAAATCAAAAGTCAAAAGTCAAAAAGTCAAAACTAGTTTCGATTTATGGCGAAGCCTTTTGACTTTCATACAGTTGCAAAACCTTTTAGTTAGTTTTGGAACCCAACACTAGTGCTAATATTACGTAAAATGATAGAATACATCAAAAGATTGACAAATACAATAAGATAATGTTTAAAAAATTGCATTATTTGAAAAACAGCTTCAATGTCAAAAAAATTTATCATCATCAAAATTTAATGATAACTTCTTTACATGACAATATTGACTACTTATGTGTGTTTCTAATTCAGGAACTAAAGACAATTCGGATGCGTTTTTATTTTTTTCATTTTATGAGATGTAATAATGAAGAAGAAATATTAAGAATTATTTTGATTGTTAATTTGTAGACAGTAGAAAGAAAATATCATTAAGATGAAGCTATGAATTACTATTTTTTGATCAGATTTACTGTATATTGTGATCAAAATTTTAGTAATAATAATGAAAGTTTAAATAATTTGGATAAGAAAAAGTACTGTTTCAAATTGAGTTAATTAGAAAAGTGGAACTTTAAATTAAAAATTAATAATAATTGTTCTTCAATTATTGAGATGAAAAGCTTATAGTCACTAGGGTTTTGGCAAATAAATTTTTTATGACAATCCTTTAGAAATAGGTTTAATTATTCAATGAGTAATTTTTAAACAGTTACAGATAAGGTTGTGGGTGAAACTCCTCCAGAAATCAATTGACAGAGTTTCGCATTTGGGGTTTTGTTAATCGACAGAGTTTTGACAAGGTATATACTAATTGTTCATTAGAGTTTCGAGTGAGTTTTGACAGTCACTAAGAGGTTTCGGCAAGCAACCTTAGTCACAGAATACTTAACGTTTGTTTTTTTTTGATATTCATCATTTTAAATATTCCGAGAATCAAAGTCATCACATTCTTTTCTATTAGTTTATTCTATTATATTCTTTAATTGTCACAGTTTTATAAGAAGTTTCCATTTAATAGCAGCATCCATTTTTAGAATAGTTGTCTTTCAGAATTAATTGCTAAAAAATAAGTATTTAGAGATTGTCGTTTTAGCTTTAGATCCTGAGCTGGGAAATAGGATAATATTATAAAAAATATAATATTTTTATTTATGATATTAATAAATGTAAACTAATAACAAAAAGAAAGGTACATGAAATAAAATACAAGTTAAAAGTAAATATTTAAAAATAAACTAAATAATTCAACTTTTTTGTTTATCTCTCAAACTGTAGCAGCAACTGAATTCCTCTTTGCTTTTTCATTTGCCTTTTTCTCTGCAGCATTAATGACAATTCCTTCTATTACAAATGTTACAGCATCCGTGGTCAAATAAACTTTTGTCCAGATAGGATCAAGATTTAATAACAGCATTTCAATCACATCACCCGCAAATACAATTAACAATAGCGATTGATAGAACTGCCCCTTTACGATATTTTTTACTACTTGTTTTGCTTTTTCTTTTGCTTCATTGCTTTCTTCTGCTCCATTGCTTTGTTCTGGTTTTCCACTGTTAACAATAACGTAAATGCATTTTATAGTGGCACAAAGAACCATTAATAGAGTCGGTATAACAATGAATAAGTAATTGTCAGTTTTATAATGACCGCGAGAAACATATATCCCAAAAAATATAAATTGTGATGCATCAAGAAAAAAGGCTAGAACAAGACTTGCACAGAACACCGATTTAGGATTTCGGAGCAAAAAGTTATGCATTATATTCCCCTCGTGAGAATGATGATTGATGGTGTAAATTGATAAGTGGATTGTAATACTTGTGTATAAGATTGTTATAAACCCCACTACTAATATTATGGAGACATACTTGATGAATAAATCGTCACTGGTATCGTGGTATTTTTTTATACAAAACCAAGTAAAAAAGCCAGCTTTTAAGAAAATAACAATAAAAGAGAGACCTGTGTAGAACCATATTTCTGTAATATCAATCTCTGATTCTTTGATGCTGAAATAAGCGAGAAGCAAAATAGCTATTGATGATGTGTAATCGAAAACGACATCAGTCTTGTCATCTGTCGAGATTGGCATAGCCACCACCTTTGTTATCATCGTCGAAAAATTTATTAAAAAAAAGATTATAAACAGTTTCATTGGAAAATGTGATTGAAAAAACTTCGATTCTACCATGTTTTTTTGGTAATGTGTAATGAGCAAATTTGTAATTTGTATATTTGATATAAAAATAGGGTTTTTGGTTTAGGTTCGGTTCGGTTTTTTGTGAAACTAAAATCTCTATGTTTATCAGCCAGGTTATTAATTATATCACGTGAAAATTTAATATGAAATATTATTATTATTATTATTATTATTATTAAATAGATTTTTAATTATTATGTCGAAGATGTAAAATGATAGCTATCCTTTTTATATTAGTTGAAAAATGGTAAACAAATTGATTAGGCATCATGATTATTTTTACAACTTGTTTTTTTTTCCAAATTCAATTCACCTCTTCTCCAAACAACTTATTTTGTTGGTTTTTTAAATGCGCAGAACAAAACAAACAATTTATTAAAAGATAGGTTAATAACCCTTTTAACTTTTAAGTTATTAAAATAGGTTATTAACTGCCCATCACTAATAGCAACACAATAAAAAATAACTATTTCTATTACTATGTTGCATTCAATTCGACCCTTCTATTTTGTTATTGTTTTTTCCATTTCAAGCAACATATCATTACTATTATTATATATACAACCCAAGATGATTTTGAATGAAAATGATTTATTTTTTCAAACTCATTTAGGAAATATAATTTAAAAAATATTCTATTATTATTATGATGCAATTGTTTATTCTATTAGACTATATTTAGCTGTCCAATGAAGAAGGTTTCCATATTAGTATAGTATTTTTTTGTTATTGCGTTTTCTGTATTTTATTTTCCGTGAACCTTTTTGTGTTGTTTTATTTAAAGTTGCAGTTATCCGGTCCAATTTATATTCAAAAGTAATCTATATATACATCAAAAATTTTTTAGAGAAATACCGCCAGTAGGGTTTGTATTCATGAATATCATAAGGGTCACACTATTAAAATCAAGTGATCAACTCATGATTTTTTGCTGTTTTAATAGTGTGTAACCCCCTTAATGAATAAAAACCCTAACCGCCAGAAAAGAATGCAACTTTATTCCATCCAAATAAATTTGTTGTGTTAAATTTATGAAGCCTTCCTCAACTGAATTATGAATGGATAATAATAATCAACATTTTCATATAAGTAAGTCTTGAATAAAAAAATTTCGCAACCAATTTAAGTCATTCGCATCATGCAAGGTACGTAGCAAAAACTCATTTTAGTAAGATCCAATCCGGGGATGATATATTATTCACCAAAAAAGTCCGTATATATATGAATAATTGTCAATGCAAAAATTACGCGGCAATATCATGCATATAAAAACAAATTGATATACTGTTTTGCAAAGTTAAAAGTAGTTTTCAAAATTACATATAACCTATATTAAACTTGTAACAAATTTTGTTGTAACAAGTTTATAAATATTCGATATATTAATAAATCTTGAACAATAATTTTGTTTTTAATTCCTTTGCCACCTTTGCCAATGAGGAGTTCATTCAGAAGGTAAACGGTATTACTGTATTAGAATAAATTCTTAAAAATAATATCCTTGTCCGTATGTGAATTTAGAAGCATTAAAATACATTCTAATTCAAACATACAGAGAGTATAATAATAGTAATAATAATGATAGTAGCAGTAATAATAATATCGACAAGCTTAATACCATCTGAAATTTTTTTTCATCAACTGGGATTTATTTAAGTTCTTAGCCGGTTAACATCATTACTTGTGTGTGGGGTTATCTTTTCTTCCAATTCAAATTCCAAAAATCACTAACTATCACTTCAATTCTATACAATTCACCATACACTGCCAATTACTTAATCAATCTATAGCAGAACGCCGTTTCATCGCTATCTTTGTTGATGAATTTAATGGTATTTATGTACATTGATATCTTTACTGATGAATTTTAATGGTTAGGAAAATAATTATTTTATTCTTTTTACTTAATAATTTTGATAACTTTATTATACATATCTTTTTTTATGGTACATTACTGTACCAGTGAAAAGAAAGATGATTATATAAACATTACATGGTTATGACGATTATAATAAGCAAAGGAAAATTTGTGCGAATTTCCCATTTGATAGCAAGCATCATTTTTTTTAGAATAGTTTCGTTTTCAGAATTAATTATGCTAAAGGTAATATCTATTATTTTTAATGTAAACTAATAACAAAAAGAAGATAAACAAAAAATGTTTTTTTTAAAAAAATAAGCTAAATGATTTAATTTTTCTATTTATCTAAATTAGCTCTCAATCTATATTTTTTTTTTCTAATCCTTCATCCCAACCCTTTTTTCTTCCATATTTGAATCTTTTTCATTCATTGTATCTTTTTCCACCTTTTTCTCTCCAGCATTGATGGCAATTCCTCCTAGTACAAATGATACAGCACTTGTGGTCAAATAAACTTTTGTCCAGATAGGATCAAGATTTAACAATAACATTGCAATTATATCACCCACAAATATAAGCAACATTAGTGACTGATAGAACTGTCTGCTTATGATATATTTTATTGCATTTTTTTTCATTGTTTCAATTGCTTCAATTGTTTCATTTGTTTTATCTTTTTTTTCTACTTTGCTACTTTTAATAACGTGAAGGCATTTTCCGGTGGCACAAAGAAACATTAATACAGTCGGTATAAAAACGAACAAGTATTTGTAAGATTCATAGTAACCACGAGAAGCATATATCCAAAAAAATATAAAATGTGATACATTATAAAGAACAACTTGTAAAAGGCTCATCAAAAATTGTAATCTACCAATTTTGAGTAAATAGTGACTTATTTTTTCCCGGAACCCATCAATTCTAATGCTGTAAAGTGATATGTAGATTGTAAAACTTGTGTAAATAAAAGTAATAAACCCCATTGTTATTGTTATCATGAGATACACGATGAATAAAAAGTCGTCGGTATCGTAATATTTTTTTATACAAAGCCAGATAAACAAGCAGACTTTTGAGAAAAGAAAACCAAAAGCGAGGAATAGATGAGCCCGCATTTCTTGAATGTTTGGCTCTTTAATGCTGAAATAAGCGAGAAGCAAAAGAACGATTGATATCATATAATCGAAAACGACATCAGTATTGTCATCTGTCGAGGTTGGCACAGCCACCACCTTTGTTATCATCATCGAAAAAATTATTAAAAAAAAGATTATAATAAACTGTTTCATAGGAAAAAGTGATTGGAAAAACTTCGATTGCACCATTTTTTTGGTAATATAATGAGCAAATTTGTATATTGTATAATTGACATAAAAGACGTTTGTGGAGAAATGTGAGCTATATCTTTTTAACAATAGTTAAGATGTATAATTTATCAAAAATCTGTCCTTTTATTAACAATCTTAACAAATATTTGCTGCAAAGTCAGTTTTTTGTTTTTTTTTTAAAAAAAAACAATACATATAAACGTTTAATTAGACCATATTTGGCTGTTAAATAAAGGTTTTCCTCCCCATCTAAAAAACAAAGGTGCGTACAAAATGTTTTGTTCCCTGTTTTTAAAACCCACCTTCCTAATATAGTATTTTGTTATTTTATTTTCTATAAGCCTTTTTGTATTATTTAAAGCTACAGTTATCCGGTTCGATTTTATACTCGAAGTTTGTAATTATAATATTAATATGTAATCTATACATAGGAATTTAAAATAAAAATAAAAATAAAAAATACCATTGGTTTATTCCATCTAAATGAATTTGTACTATTATAATTTATGAAGTCTCCTTTAACTAAATTAATATCAAAGAAAATAAATTAATATTTATGAATGGATATAAATAATGTTTTAATAATTATAATCATTTTCATATACATGAAATTTAAATTAGTTTCAATTGTTTTTTGCATAACGTGAGTTGCGAATAACGAATGGTAAGAAGGATTTAAAATTGATTTTTTTTTCTTTAGGTTAAATGTCGCTGGTTTTACCTAAGTAACAATATGTAGCAATCGTTTCAGCTTTTTACTGATGGTCGATATCTATACAATGGCAGTTAGTGGATAGGAACTATTTCTGGAGGGAATCAAATAAGATTAAACACATATTTCGATGTGCACAATCCTATATTCGCATACTCATACTTTGATATCCCTCTTGTGAAATATGTATATAAAGGATCGAGGAATATATTTGATAGATACAAAGAAGGTTAGGTATTTGGTGAAAATGATTATTGAAATAGGCAAAATCAGGAGGAGCTTCTAATGACATTCCAAGAATTTATTTGCAGTAACTTCGGCAATGTTTATAATGGAATATTCAGGGACCACAATGCATATTAATATCTCATATTTGATCCTGCATCTCATCAATGTCTTATAATTTATCATGAAGGAGACAAAGATTATCAACTACAGTCTGGATGGAAATTAAGTGGTAATCAATATAGATATACAATACAACCTCCGTTCAAATTACGTGGATTTGTACTTGCAGTATACTCAGGAAAATTGCCGATTTTGAATCAGTAAGAGACGATTTGCTTGGGCTATATTTGAAAAGTTTTTTGTATGATGGAGATAGATGTAGCGATGAAGTATATAACCAAATTGCATATACATTCATTATCATCCGATCATGGGAGAGATGAAATGGAACCAGACGATGGCTATTAATATGACTACGAAAAAATAAAGATGCAAGAACAATTCTGGGCGCGCTTGAAAAATTAGCAGTTTAAGATCGAAATTGGTGTTATGTCAGAAAGCAGTTTGACCGTAATATAAATGCCTTTTTTAGCATATATTATACATATATTGTAGTCGTATTAATAAAGTCTTTTATGAAAATATCAATCAAGTTCGAAAAGTTTTTCTGCCTAACTTTAACCAAGTATTCCAATTTATCATAATTAAATACGTTCCCTATTAAATACATGCTCATATTTATTACAATTCTGATATTGCAAATATTGCGTAGGGTTTGTGGTAGGTTTCTCACGGATTCAATGTTTATTATTCTTATTTTTTTCTTACTAATATGTAAAGTTAAATTTACCTCGTGTGATCATATGTCGTGAAAAATATGTATCAATGATTTCAACCCAGATTATTCTGTCAACTTTGTCCATTGATAATGGAATATACGGAGGAGCTTTACAACTAGAAAGTACTGATTAATAGCAAGTAGTATTTATCCGGAAATAGAGAAAAGCTAACACACGAGACTTGCAAAATTAAAAAATCAAAATAATTTCAATGATTTGATTATTCAAAATATTCTTTCGTATGTAGAAAGTACGAGCATATTAATGTGTGGAGATAGATTTTGAATATTATTAATAATAAATTGCCCTTCACTTTATACTTCACAATAAAAACACTTATTTCGATGAAAAAAATTTCCATTACATGGTCTCTATTTTTAAAGTGTATATATAATAATTTTGAATTTTCAAAAATGCAAATTCTCGGCCAATTTTTTGTTTAAGAAAGCTAGCCGATAAGTTTAAAGATCAAGTCATGGAAAACAAACATATTGGTAAACTTTTTAAATGATATAAAATTTTTGTTATTTTAGTATTTTTGAAGCTGACCAATTGTTATTTGAACAAATTGAAGTGGTAATATTATTAAAAAATTTGGTTAGATGGAATAATTATACAGTACCTTAGTATTAGCAAAAGTTTCGGTCACCCTAAATACCATCATTTACGCAAAAACGTACATAATAACTGTACAAAAAATTATGCCAACTTGTGGCATATGTTCTGGAGGTACTGCATATAAAGTTTCATATTTCTAAATTTCCAGAATATTTGTATATAAAATTTCATTAGACTAACAATTATAAATAAAAAAATTTTTAATATGGAATTTTAATAATTGTTCTAAAGCCTAGTTATTCATACTAATTAATTTTCCTGATATTGCTCTTGATCCATCATTAGAGCATGTTTTCTTGTTTGTTGCTTCTTCTTGATTGTGGTCTTTTGTTTCTTTTGTTTGACAATGATGATGACTTTTTTGAGTTTTTTTTTCGTTACCAATTATTTGCTGCTCAAACCATCCTTTCTTCTCTGAAGTCCATTTGGGCATGCAATTGGAAATTCAGAAAATATTCGTCGACCTTTTTTTCTAGAGGTTAAAAATTTTAAAGGATTTCAAAAGTGCTATTTCCAGCCCTAATTAATTTTTGGGGGCGAATTTAATTGATGACAATAATAATAATAAATAATAAAAATAATTTTTGAGGATAAGATTGAATAGTGAGGGTATTTACTAGCGAATAGTTTTGGGTATGATTGGATTGTTATCAACTAACAATTATTTAGATTTCTGTCTTTTATTTTTTACAATTACATTATCAACATTTCTTCTACATAACTATGTTGCTTTATATAAGCTTCGACTTTTATTTCTTTTTTGATATATTGTTTAAATTGCAATTATCATTATTTGTTTTAACATCATCTTTGGTCTCCTCATCATTATTCCCATCTTCTAAATTACAATCTTCATTTTCTAAGTAATGATTGACTCTGTTTTCAAGAAACTACCTTTATTCAGTACTTTCGTCACATTAATGACTAAAGTCAAAAGTTTCATTAGTACCGGTTAGTGTTGGTTGCCAAAACTATTTTGAGAGACGAAAGTCAAAACTAAATCAAAAGTCAAAACTAGTTTTGACTTTTGTACAGTTGCATAACCCTCTAGTTTTGGAAACCAACACTAGTATTAATATTACGTAAAATAATAGAATACATTAAAAGATTAACAAATACAAACAAGATAATAATGTTTAAAAAATTTATTTTAATTGAAAAACAGCTTCAATCATCAAAATTTAGTGATAATTCCTCTACGTGACAATATTGACTACTCATGTGTGTTTCTAAAGACAATTCGAACGCGTTTTTATTTTTTTCATTTTATGAGTTGTAATAATAAAGAAGAATTATTAATAAGGATTATTTTGATTGTTAATTTGTAGAAAGTAGAAAGAAAATACATGGACAATTTGATTAAGATGAAACTATGAAATTTTTAAAAAACTTCCATGAATAAAAAAAAATTACTATCTTTGATCGATTTACTGTATATTGTGATTAAAATTTAGTAATAATAATGAAAGTAGAAGTAATTTGGATAGGAAAAAAAGTACTAGTTTCGAATTAAGTTAATTAGAAAAGTGAAACTTTAAATTAAAATTTAATAATAATTTTTCTTCAATTATGATAGACTTTTAAGATGAAAAAAGCTTATAGTCACTAGAGTTTCGGCAAATAAATTTTTTATGACGATTATTTAGAAATAAAAGTTAATTATTGAATGAATGATTTTTTTAAACAGTCACAGAATACTTAACGTTTGATATTTTTTTGATATTCATCATTTCAAATATTCCGATAATCAAAGTCATCGCATTTTTTTCTATTAGTTTACTCTAGTATATTCTTTAATTGTCACAATTTTATAAGAGACTTCCATTTAATAACAGCATCCATTTTTTTAGAATAGTTTG